AAAGCAAATACATGTTTTGGGGGTTCCACGCATTTCCCTTTTTATTTTTGTTTTTATTAATTGACTTTCATTGGTTTTCCTTTCATTTTCTATTTTATTTCCCCTTTTTATTAAATTTTTTATTATTATTAAAATAGATGTTGACTTATTTCATACACGCTGTGCATCTTCACACACAGGTCGAACATTTTTAAGATGGACATTGAACATTTTTAACCGAATACATGTTGAAAAATTGCAAATTTCGTATTGAATACCTTTTAAATAAACTCTGAATATTTCTAATCAAATATTGAATTTTTTTCTAAAATATAATGAAAAAATTATTAGATTTCATGAGCATTGTTTCAATGCCATAAAACTATTTTTAAATGTTTGAAGTTTTTAAAACTATCTTGAAATTTTTGAATGGTATGAATATTTTCTAATAATTAAGAAAATAATTCTTCATATTTTCATGAACACTTTTAGAAAATGTCATGGCCAAATTTAGAAAAGAGTGACATTTTTTAAATGTCAGGAATAACAGTATGAAATATTTGAAAGAATTGTGTGCATTTTTCTTTACATTGTATGACCTTCTTTTACAATGTCATAACAATAATTTTAAGCGCATGAACAATTTGACAAATGTGATGAACAATTTCTGAGTAGTATGAGCAGTTTTTACCAAATTATGCGAACAAAATTTTACATTCCATGAATATTTATTTTGCACCGTGAATATTTCAGAAATTTAAGTCAAGTAATGTATGAAATATTTATATTTAGTTATTTTTAAAATGTAACAAAAGGGGTACTTAACATGTCTGCTTGCGTGTGTAGACATAGCGGTCTGTCGCAGATGCACGCACACTGGGTCTGGCCCATTAATGAAGACACTTGAGGCGACATGAGCTTCGATCTCGCTTGTTGCGTGGCCAAGACTGTCCCATCTTTGTGTGAACCCTGCCCGGATGAAACAAAAAGACGACAATCGAGAAAAAAAAAACTCGACCTAAGGGGAGAGAAATCCCGAAGGCATTATATTGTAAGGTCGATAAAGGCCCCGAACGCTGGCTTGCGCAGTTCAAGTATTCACAGCGAACTCGCTGGCTTGCACAACACAATTAGATACAGCGAGAGGCTTTTTTTTGTGAGAACCAGGATTTGAACCCTGATTGGTAGGCCCACTTCAGGAGGTCTTTACCAATCGCGCGACCAATATTGCTTGGCTACAGAGTCGACTGTGATTTAACATCTCAGTTGACAGAATTAGCAAATCTGATTAATTTATGGGTACCATAAAAAGCTAGCAGCTCTTATTTCCAATAAACACTATACACCTGGATCATGTAGAGTGCAAGTAGCGTTTTTATAGGGCGTAGCTGGTAGCTACACACACACCACACAGGCACACATAACATGCGCAAGGGCGTAGCTGGTAGCTACGCACACAACACACAAGTCACAACACTCACAAGCACAAACGGAAGCAGGACAGGCCGGCTAGCCAACGACCGGAGTCTGGGCGACTATCTGCTGGTCGAGGAAGACGCGGACGCGGTGGTCGTCCTCGTCCGGGGACACGTTGTCGCCGACGGCGTGGAACTCTATGGTGACGTCCTGCCTGTCAGCCTTGATCTTGATCATCGCCGTAAAACCGTCCCAGCCCACAACCTCCGGCCAGGACGACTTCCCGTCGTCAACCGCACCAGCACCGCCGACGGCCATGGCTCTCCCCATCGATCGTACGCGCACTAGCTGCAAAATACCAACCAACAAGTATATGTACGCACGTTTAATTAACAGAGGATCATATGTATAATATACTAGAGGTAGAAGTACATTTTTAAAGTAGAGGGATACGGCCGCGGAAAATAGTATGGGCACGTCTCGTACCAGCAAATGAGAAGAAGAAAGGTAGACACTAGAGAGTGATCTGTTGATCGACGACGCTTGTGGTTATGGTGCAGACAGGTACCTAAAGTACGTATATATACACGTGCTTAGGTGTACATACGTTATTCTTTTGTGGAAGTAACTAAGCACAAGGGGCATCGCCTGTACCGCCATAGCTCATACATTCGCATTGTAAACTGAGTCTCCTGACTTGTTTCCCGATGCATGCGTACCGGGCCTGTGTTGTTTACTGAAACAACTGACAACACGTTTTTTTTTAAACGGAACTGACAACACGTTCGTCATGAGTGTGCGTTTCGCTTCGACACTTATCCGTTCACCATGTATCTCTATCTATGTGCCAGAGCAGGATACAATATATTGATGGATATAATTAAAACTTTGATGTGGAATCTTTTAGTCCGGTGCCATATATGCACAGTACTTTCTTTCCAGCACTCGGACTTGATATTTGGACGAGGCGTGGTTCGTTTTATACATAATAAAGCAAGACAAAGGCATGTTTGCAGATCATTGATGCACTAGTTCATTCGACCATTTGATCACTTTGATTTATATACCTTAACGTCTCCATAATAGATCCTTCGGAATACCAGAAATAGAAATCGTCAGTGCTAAAATATTTATAATTTTTTGAGAAAAGTATACTTTTCGTCCCTCAACTCTTCGCTGAGTTTACTTTTCGTCCCTCAACTCTAAAACCGGACAGAGTGCACCCCGAACTCTCGAAACCGGTTATTTTTCGTCCCTGCGACTGAGTCAACCCGGTTTTGACCACGTGTGAACAGTACACTAGATGAACAGTAAATTCGAAAAATAGAGCAAAAAGAATTAAAAAAAATCTGCAATGTTATGACATCGAAGATACTCAGGTGTGCCATGTGCGTGCAAATTTTCATCATGTTTGGAAGTTCGAGGAGCTCGCAGCAAAAATAAAAAATTAATCTACTCTGAAGTGAACAGTAAAATAAAAAAATAGCAAAAAAATTCATTCGACCATTTGATCACTTTGATTTATATACCTTAACGTCTCCATAATAGATCCTTCGGAATACCAGAAATAGAAATCGTCAGTGCTAAAATATTTATAAATTTTTTATCTCCAGTTTGAAAATTTCAAGTTAATGTTTATGTCGACACTGCTATTTTTCTTCTGGAATGTTTGTCCCCCTTGGTTGATTTCTTTGGCCCAAGAGTCACTGCTCGATTGATGTTGGTACCTGTCGTATGATCTCCTGCCAAACTGCGGCATGACATCTACATGCCGGGGTATATGATACCATCGGCATCGGCAAAGCTCATTGATAATTAACACTCAGACGACAAGATAATTGAATTGTAATTGTTCATCACGTCTCACATTTATGACTTTACCCCTTGAACAATGGTACACACTTCTAGTTACCCTAATATTTTTTGGAGTACGAAACAAAATCTTACCTTTATACTACTAGACAAAACTATTCATCAACCATGGGACTGCATGGCCAGTTATCCTATATATCTAAGAGAGTCATCTCCACTAACTTATGCAAGCATGTCAACTAATCATACAATTATGAATGTACTAAGGCCCACCTCAACATGCAATCATGCATGGAAAAAACCACCACAACATTCAATAATGCATGGGAAAATATTTTCCATTCAATTATTCTACTTATATTCAATATTTTACAACTATACATAATTAAATATGATAAGTCCCATGTATTTTAATTTTGGTTATCATGCTATCAACCCAAACTTTCATCAACCATTTCACGCAGCAACGCGCGGCGTATGCTCTAGTTTAGACAATAACTAAGTATAACAATTTTGCAAAACAGGTTGCTGGTGAATTCTGGAAAAAAATCAGAGATATCGGGTAAACTTGACTCCCTTTGTTCCATATTATAAGGTGGATTATACAGTTAAAAAATTAAAAAACTTCAATGTTCCACAAAGTCTATAGAAAATTCATCTACATCTACAATAACACATTAGTGTCATTAGACCATGTAAATGTTGATTCAAATTTTATTTTGTTTTCCTTTGAATTTTTTTATAGTTTATTCATTTGATATTATAAATATTGATGATTTCTTCATGTTTCATTCATTTGATTTTGTAAATGTTAAATTTTTGTAAACCCTGTCAAACTTATAAATGGTTGACTTCTAAAATATTAATGCATCTTATACTGTAAAACAGAATGAGTATTCAAAACATATGCTAAATTCATTCTTCTAACATTACATTCAGCAAGCTGTGACCAATTTACTGACATCTAAGATCAAGAAACTAAATCTTAACCTTGTTGAATATCCTAGAGAAGTACACTACATACACACTGGATATTGCTATATTGGCCTTCAAGACTATCCAACTCTCTACGGGCAGAATAAACAATCCTTCCAATGATATTAGAGCAACAACTACAATTAAACATAAGAAAACATTAATAATCGACTCGAACTATACCAAGGAATTCACCTCAGGTCATCAAGAGTATGTACAATCTATGGTTCAGGCATGATCTAGAGGACAAGGGGAGGCATAGCTGGCATCTCCACCTTGCACCGGCATAACACAAGTCAACGAGAGATATGCCGGACAATACGACATCCCCACTACTTCAAGGATGAAACGCCGATTAGAGATCCTTTTGGATGTCTTTTGAGGAAAAAAGCGAGGTGGATTGATATTGGAGAGCAGTCGTGTTGCACCTAGGAAAGGCATGGGGCATCATGTATGCTAGTTCTCCCTAAGACTATGGATAGACCATGGGATAATCTTGTGGGGAATTTGTTCTAAACGAGAATGTCCTATAAGGGAGAGAGGACATGCAAGGATGAGGAATCTGTCATCTCATGCTGACATCACTACATTGATTGCTTCTTTTTTTGAAATGGTTTATCACACGAATCGCTAATGCGATCAGCGATCCATATTCACCAGCAAGCTAATCTCAACAACGGCTTCAAAACAAGATATCATGTTTACATGTTTTGACATCAAGCAATTTCCACAATAATAGTGTATGGTATGATGCAATAGTTTACATGTTTTTTGTAGGCATGCCAATGTTATATAGAGTTAGAAAGTGAGTTTTTTTTTAGAATTTACCACTAAGTATAAGATGATCTCATCTTATAAAGATAATTTAATACAAGTCTTACATGACTGAAAAATTATATTCAGTAACCCGGCAACTAATTTTTCATAATTTGATAACTAGGTGACTATGATGTGACACGTAAGAAAATCAATCTTGTAATTGCAGATGAAAAAGTTATTAAGACATATTCCTTGGACCAGGTTTATTTAAAACAATCTATACTTTTACAATAACAAATATATATGGTATGGAAATATTTTGAATGATGATTCAAATGGTATTGAATTGGTATTGTGAGTGTATAATTTTTTGTATAATTATATCTCGTGTAATGTACTCCCTCGGTTTCTAAATATAAGACCTTTAGAGATTTCAATAGGGACTAATACGGATGTATATAGACGCATTTTAGAGTGTAAATTGACTCAATTTGATCCGTATGTACTTCCTGCGTCGCATAATGTAAGAGTGTTTTTGACACTACACTAGTGTCAAAAACGCTCTTATATTATGAGACAGAGGGAGTATATTTTTAGGGGAAAAGCTCGTCCGGATAGCTTGGGATTCGACTATGCTTGGACAAAAGATCCTCTCAAGTTTGATAATTCCTACTTCATGTAAGCTTAATCGCCACATTGTCTATATAATTTTTTTGAATTTTTCTGATTTTACCGTTCACCGAGCTCATTTGACCTCGGCAGCAGAAACTTTGCATTCACATATAGCACATTTTTTGTCTCTTTTATATCGCTCTGTTTCTTGCACTTTCTAGTACTCTCTGACAGGGTTTCCTATTTGGTGGTCCTGCTTGGGAGGAACCGAACGGTCACTTTCCCACTAGGTGTTTTCCCATTTTAAAAGTCAATGCCTAGTCAAACTTTTATTTTTTCACAAGTTTAGCGAAGAGAAAACTTTCAGAAAACCGCGAGTCGCTTTTGGGGGATTTCTAACTATCAGATAATCCACGTTGAATATTCAGGAATGTAAACTTTGAGAATTTTAAATTTTGTATAATTAAAAATACATTTTTTGGAAATATCCAATTTTCTGAAGAAAAATAATTGGAAAGCTCAAAAACTTGGATAGATGTCATATCATGCTGGGACCTGCACTTATTCACAAAGCTGAGAAAAGGCGGAGAGAAGCCATTCTGCCTACAACCCTCCGTACAAGTGGCCATGCGGCGCGGTCGAGCCAAGTGATTATGCTTCCACACGAAGGATTGAGGAAATATACAACACACATGGACTATTTGGATGATAGAGAGTGGTTTATGTGCACCCACACACGTATTGGACCCTGATGCACCCACGATAAAAATCTTAGCAAAACATTTAAAAAAATCTGAAACTTTGTGGATGTGATTTTGACCAAATGGTTTAGGTGCTAGTAAAATTTGGCGGCGAAATGACATCTGAGGAGCTCTGTACAAAAAAAAAGTTTATGCTGAAAACATGTGAACAGTAACATTGGTGCAGAGCATCATTTGTATTTCGTTTTGTATGGAGATCATTTGATGTTTTTTGGTGACCAAACTTTGTAAGCGCCTAAAATATTTTCTTATAATCGCATCCACAAAGTTTCAGATTTTTTTTTGAATTTTTTCTATTTTTAATTTAATATTCACTTCGTGGGTGCACCCAAGATGAGTGCAACCACTACTTTCCCTTTGGATGATACCGTTACAAGATAGCTAGATCAAGGCATAAATGCAACATACAAC